GCTGGAAATAAGAGATCGGAGTTGTTTTGGATGATTTTGCACGATCAGAGACTTAAATGCAAAATTGAAGAAGTTTTGGAGCAAAAGTAAAAATACTACAAACTCGAGGGACCAAAATTACAAATCGTGGATCTCTTTTTCTTTTCCAGCGGCTGACCTAAAGTTCTTTTTATAAATAGTCTTTTGTTTTATTTTTGAGGGCAGCCGTGCTGATAATGTTAATATTAGCATGACATTTGTTATGGTTTATGTGTTGTTTTGAATATTATCTATGCTAATATTAGTACTTTGGTTCTTAATTTGATCATAGGAAGGATTTGGAACAAAAAGAAGAAAAGTGTTGATTTTGAAGAGATTTTGAAGGTTTTATTGAATCAAGTTTCAAGTTGGAGAAGAAGTGGTTGATTCCCGCGTGGGCACACAAAATCCATGCCAAAGTTAATGAAGGAAGCAGAAAATTCCAGCAGAAATAATGTATTCCCGCGTGGGCACACTGAAATAGGGATTAAAGTGCAAAATTTCTAAAGTTTTAGGGTCAATTTATAATTTTGACAAACTTCAGAGACCAATTTGAAAATTCTGAAAAATTTAATTGGTTGCTGCATTTTCTGAATGGGCTGAACGTGGGGATGCCCTAAATTTGCATATAAATAGTCTTTTCTTATTATTAAGAAAGGGAGGAGAAGAGGCACAATACATGGAGCGACGGCTAAAGCTCAGGACAAGGATTTCTTTCCGTTTTCGTCAGTTTTAGCTCTGTAATGTCAAACATCAATTTTTATGTTGTTCATTTCACCATGATTAGCAACTAAATCTCTTTTCTAGTTAAAGAATTTTATTGAAGTCTTGATGTTATTCAATTGTGAGATCTAACTGTTTGCTTTTCACCAACGAATTTTGAGTATTTATTTATTCTTTCTGATGTGTATTGATGATTATTTGGCATTATTTGAATAGCTGGTAGCGTTTAATTCTCCTAGATAATCTAATTTATTGAACAACAATGTTTGTTTGTTCCTTAGAAGAGACAATGCAAATAATTACTTGGTAAGTAGTTTACTTGTGTTGTGAGAATAAATAATCAATTTTTAATGAAACAAGGTTTGTTTGTTAGAAATTGAGTTGGGTCTTTGTTTGTCAAAAACTAAATCCTAGGAGGTTCCAGGTAGTGTTTTTGGCTATATAGTGGTTAATGAAGGTTTCTTAATTGCTGGTAATTAATAAAAAAGATTGAGTTGTTAGGAGGTTCCAACAACGATAACTAATACATTCATGATTTGTTGAGTTAATCTTTGCATCAATGATCAGTTGGATACATCAAGGTGAAAATTATTCCTTTGACTTGAGTTGCTCTTATTATTGATTTTCCAAAAGTATCTTTTATTGCTTGCAAATTATTTTTGTTATTCATTAGTTACAAATCCAAAATCTCTCTCATTTAGTTACCTTACTTTTGATTAGAAATATTTTCACTTCCTTGCTCCCTGAGGAGACGACTCTACTCATTGCTATACTACTAAATTTGTTAGAAGTAGAATCTTTTATATTTATTGGTTTAACAACCCACCACGAGCATTGGCCAAAGGCTAGCACCTCAAACCTTTTATTTCTTTCAATTTTTCTTGAATTTTCATGGAGAATAAAACCGCCATGTTTCCGTCCGTGAGTGGCTAAGGATTTTCTTTCTGATTCAGGGAATTTATTCAGTTATTCCATTATGAGGTTTTGTTCTTAATTTATTGTCCTTGCCTATGATTTAAGTATTTGTTGATTCTTGTATTGAGTTATGAAAGTAGATGTCATTCAAATTGATAACTTGATTTGTTATTTATTTTCTAGTGCTATCTGCTAGTTGAATATTACGTAATAGACAAGAACCGGCAGTATTGAGTAGCAATTAGACAAAACATGTGTATTGGTGAGACATTGAATATGCATGTTAGTTTAAATGTGGAATCAATGAGGCAAAGTCTAAATAGTTGCAGCTATCTCAATTGTTTAGATTTTGGTTCAACTATATTTCCTTGGTATTTATGCTGTCATTGTTTGGTATGGAATGCTATCGTGCCCCGCCGAATTATGATAAGGACTAATCGAGTGCTAGGCTTGGTTAGTTAATTTAGGGAGATAAATTAATTTATTACGGCTATCCGAATAGATCTTTGGTTGAATGCTTAAATTGCAAGAGTAGTTTTAGTAGCATGTGATTAATGAAATAATTGAGTTATCCGCCCCTTGAGTTAGAAGTCTGTTACTTTGATTTCTTTTCATTTATTTAGTTTTTGTTATTTGAATTTCATTATCATAGATTTAGAACAACAATCTAAAAATCCATCCTTGCATTAATTTGAAGGAAATAATCCATCGTTCCCTAAGGAGACGACCTTACCTCTCTATACTACGTAGTTTGAATTAGGTTAATTTATTTGTGTGGCTTGACACCCCATCACTTTTATTTGCTATCCTTTGGTTGTATGTTACGTAATTGACACGAACTATTAGAATTTAGTAGCAACTAGGCGGATCTTGTGCATTAGTGAGACTTTGGATGCTCTTGTATGCTTGGTAATAGGATTAACGAACCACCATTTAAATTATTGCAGCTAGCTCAATGATTTATGTTGTGTTTCAAGTATATTTCCATAGGATTTATTGATGTCATTTATTTGTATGGAATGCTATCGTGCCCAGCGATTTATGATAAGTGTTGATTAAATGCTTGGTTTGGTCAATGAATTTAGGGAGATTATAGATTTACTACGGCTATCTTAACTTGAAGACTCGAATTGTAGGAATACTTTTAGATACCTATGATTAGTGAAATAATTGAATGATCCATCTTGAGTCAGAAGTTTGCTATTTTGATTTCTTTTGTTTATTTATTTTATGTTATTTGTGTTTTCAGTATTATAGACTAGAACAACAATAAAAAAAATCCATTTGCATTAGTTTGAAAGAAACAATCCATCGTTCCCTGAGGAGACGACCATACTTTCTCTATACTACTGTAGTTGAAGTAGGTTTATTTTATTTGTGTGGTTTGACACTCCATCAGCGTCGTTTATACAGCACGTGAAGAATTATCAATGTTATCATCAGGGGGAGACAATTACGCACTGCACTCTTTTTCCCTTCGCTAATTTTTTTTTCCCACTGAGTTTTTATTTTAGTAAGGTTTTTAACGAGGCAGTATATATAACTAGCGTAATTTATTTTGTCATTCTAGGGGAGGTGTTGTACATAAGTGAATGACAAAAAGGTCAAAACCTATATAATAGATGGCAAGAAAATTCAGGCATGTTGTCTATCAAATTTTTCCTATAAATATGGGTGCTCATGCAATGAAAATTGTACACCAAAAATCTATCTTCATTCTACTCTCGAATTTCTACTCCTTCATGTTTCTTAAGTCCATAAAATATATTTCTTCCTTCCTTCATAAATCTTATAAGTTATCTCTTAAAATTAAGACTATTAGAAAGTTATTATATTAAATTCTCTAGTAGATAAGTTATAAATAAATAATCTCTAAGTAAATTATTAGTACCTTTGCGTAGATCAATATATTTAGACCCTTGTTTTATAACAGTACCAAAATTTTCTACCGTACCAAGAAAAAAAATAAGGCAAGCAAGTTTTGACTTTTAGACTCGAGTTTGTACTTTGTACCTATGTTTTTAAAACCGGACCGGAAGGTGAACTGTTAGCGTGACTGAGTTGGTGAATTTATCGGGTTAACGGGTTAGTTCGTTCCTTAAAACCAGTAAAAATCGGTTAAAATAATATTAAAAAATATTTAAAAATTAATTTAAAAAAAATATTCAAAACCGGTTCAACCGGTACCGGTTTCTGGTCAAACCACGGTTTCGTCCAGGTTTGACCAAGTTTGACCGGATTATACAAAATCCGGTTTTTTATACAAACCGGACCGGTGAGACTTCCGGTTCCCGGACTAACCGGTTGGACCGGGCTGGTCCGGTTTTAAAAACACTGCTTTGTACAACTTGATTGGATTTGATGTTGGTGATGACAGACTATTCTGCCAATTAGTACTACAACGTTAGAGCTAGCACACACATCTTATTGGACTCCCCAACTCTTTCTAGAAGATAGGATGATCAAGCCGGTGTCTTGGTTGCAGCATTATATGCTTGGTAGCCCCAAATTACTAGAACTGCATATTTAGAAGAAAAAGATGGAGTTTATTAATGTATACATATCTATAGTGATCAAAATGCAAAACTTTATCGTGTTATTACAGAGCATGAGTAAATGACAATGATAAGGAGATGCGATATGAATGTGTATGGGCATATATATGATTGTGAAGTTGATTCTCGAACGTCATTTTTTTCCCCTCTGGGTAAAGAAGTGGTTTATACTGCAACGGATCGTAAATCAAATGGTAGTCCTTCTTTTGCACCATAACTAGAATATTGCTCAATCGATTCTTTATCTTTCTTTTTGTTTTTTTTAAGATACAATGCCATAAAAACAAAAAAAAAAACAAAATTGCATAATTAACGAACATTAGAATTTTTTCAATGACTACAATGTGAGATATTCTTTAGTAAACCAAACCCATCTTCATAAATTAGGTAAAACGTAGTTTTTTCTTTTAAAAAAAAAAGAAATATAATAAAATTAGATCAGTCGCTCAGAAGTCGGATCAAAAGGTCGAGGAATACTTTTTATCTTCAAAAATTATTTTAATTTTTATTTTTTTTGGAAAAAAAGGGGGAGATTTAATCGAACCAAACTTCTCCCCCTGCAGCTACGTATGCCATTTCCCCTGTCCGGTCTTCGAGTTAGGCTCTCCGTAAGAAAAATCAAACCAGAAACCGATCAAACCGGTCCCCCCACCCACACCCAGTATTTCTGTCCTTGTCATGCAAACCTTCTCGTAAATTCAAGAATTCAACGTAATCTTGGACCTCTTGGGTCATGAAATCCACCTATAAATATACTCATTATGAGCTACCCTTTAACGTTAATCATCACTAGTTTGTCTCAGAAAAAAAAAAAAAAATCATCACTTTTCAATGAAATTTCCAACCCCCCAAGTCCACCTATATCAGTTTACTTATTCCTTTTAATATTACCGATTTCAGCTTACCAATTGTTCACGCACTCATACACTAAACAACTACGGAGGAAAGAACACAGATAGTTCACAAAATGGTTCAGCAGCTACACATATTCTTCTTCCCATTTTTGGCCCATGGCCACATGTTGCCTTCCTTGGACATGGCCAAGGTGTTCATCTCTCGAGGGATTAAAGCCACCATGATCACAACTCACTACCACGTCCCAATGTTCGAGAAGGCAATTGAAAGAAGCAAAGAATTGGGATTCGACATTTCCGTTCGAGCAATCAAATTCCCATCGTCAGATTCCGGATTGCCTGAAGGAATCGAGAGCTTTGACCAGCTGAAGTCGGACGACTTGCTTCCCACCTTCATTTTGGCCACGACCAAGCTCCAAGAACAACTGGAACAGCTCTTAGAAGAATGCCGCCCGCATTGCATCGTCGCCGATATGTTCTTCCCTTGGGCGACTGAAGCTGCGGCCAAATTCGATATTCCCAGATTGGTTTTCGGCGGAACAAGTACATTTGCGATGAGTGCTATGGAATCTCTCCGACGGAACAGGCCTTACGACCACGTTTCCTCCGACTCCGAACCGTTTGTGGTGCCTGAAATTCCTCACGAAATAAAGATGACCAGAGGAGAGATTTCAGTGTTTGAGAGGCAGAGAGATGAGCAGGACACGGATTTGACCCGATTGTTTAATCGGGTGAGGGAATCGGATGTGAACTGTTATGGAGTGGTTGTTAACAGTTTCTACGAGCTGGAGAAAGATTACATTGAATATTATACCAAGAAGTTAGGAAGAAAGGCATGGCATATTGGCCCTTTCTTACTCTGCAACAAAGAAGTTGAAGATAAAGTAAGCAGGGGAAAGAAATTAGCCATTGATGAACACGATTGTTTACAATGGTTAGATTCCGAGAAACCCAATTCAGTGGTTTACGTCTGTTTTGGCAGTATGTCTAATTTTACCGTCGCCCAATTGCATGAAATTGCAAAGGGTCTTGAGGCCTCTGGCCAAGATTTCATTTGGGCTGTAAGAAATTGCGTCGACGAAGAAGACAGCGATAAATGGTTTCCTGAAGGATTTGAGGAACGAATTCAAGGGAAGGGATTGATTATAAAAGGGTGGGCACCCCAACTTTTGATTCTTGAACATGAAGCTGTAGGAACATTCGTAACTCATTGTGGATGGAACTCGACGCTGGAGGGAGTCTGTTCTGGGGTGCCATTGGTAACATGGCCTTTGTTTGCGGAGCAATTTCTGAATGATAAACTGTTGGTTGATGTTCTGAAAATCGGTGTTGCTGTTGGTGCAAAAGAGTGGAGTAGAGTGGCTAAGAATATCATCAAAGGAGAAGCTTTGGCTAATGCAGTGGAGAGAGTCATGGTTGGCGAAGAAGCTGTGAAAATCAGAGAGATATCTAAGGCATTAAAAGAAGCTGCAAAGAAGGCTATTGAAGAAGGTGGTTCCTCTTATGCCGATTTCAATGCCCTCATTCAAGAATTAAGTGAATATCATTCAAAAGGAAATTAATCAGATGACTAATTAAACAAGTTGTACTTTTTTATTTGGCAGCAGATATTAGAGACATATGATATTATCTGCATCGTTAAATTGTACCTTAATTTGTCATAGTTTTCCCTTTGAGGACATTGGTACTTCAATTGTGAAAAACTTCTTGTTCTACCATGGATGTTAGGGTTCATTGGTACTTCAGTAAATAAGCAAGGAGGATCCCGATTATTAATTTACTAATTTAGTTTTAAGGTCTGAGTTGTATTTGATTTACTTAGTAGTAGTAATCCCTCCATTCTAAAATAAGTGTCATTCTACACTTTGCACATAGTTTAAGAAACTCCTAAATATGGTAAAAAAATTACTTGAATATCCCCAACCAGCCCCATTAAAAAAATGTCAACTAATAATATTAACCCTTTTTGAGGGTTATTTTTGAAACTTTGAACAAAAATGCATTGAAACGTGAGAACGATACTTATTTTGAAATTTTTTCATTTTGTTAAAACGATACTTATTTTGGAACGGAAGGAGTACTAAGTTGTAGCACTACATTGAATTTATGGTATTTTTTCTGGTGCAATTTTCAACAATGCACAGTATTTTGTAATCAATTCGTTAATCATTGTCGCTTGTGTGATCAAAGTTGGGTGAAGAAAAATAGAAAAATGATATTGGGAATTGGTGCTACCTTCGTTTTTTTGTTTTTTTTGGGTAAAGGCTGCTACCTTCGTTTGTGAGTACAGAAGAGGACGAGACATTAACAATTCAAACTTTACATTGCCTTTTCCAAGTTTATTTTTATTATGATTATGAACACAAGTCCAATATGTCTGGGACGTCGCAGCCTCACTATCCTTATATCATGATAACACGTCGTCGAATGTCACTTTAGATGCCGACTACTACTGAAACAAGCAAAACAATTGGGGTTGGATGGTGATACCATCATCTTTTGAGGTTGTAGTTATTCCATTACCATTATGCAAACACCGGAGCTAATAAACTCTGTACTACGTGCAACACGAGAGATCATGCTGTCGACGAAACTATGTAATTTGTCCTCATTGACAAATACACTTTTCTTTGTCTTAAAATAATTATCCAGCATAGATTTTTACTCATAATTATTTTAAGTTGACCATAAATTTATATATGAAGAGACAATTTCCGTATTAAATTCTTTGGCATGGTCGACTGGAGACTTCTTGTCATGAGTCCGCCTCGAAAAAAATCGTGGTTTAATCATAATATTGTCTATTGTTTCTTAATTGTAGTAAGTGTGTTTTATTGTACGTAGTTGTTGAAGTCGTGATGTATTTGCCTCCTCTCATTGAATCAAAAAAATATTTCTTATCAAAATCATTGAGCCTCATATTTCAAAATTAAGTGATAATGTGTGAGATAATTGAAGAAATTTATATACCAGTTTCGACTTGCCCTCTTGAGGTGGCCACACATTTGGGAAGCAGTCGTAATTCGTTACGTAAACACAAAACAACAATTTGCATTATTGCAGGTGATTAAATTCTTGGGATATCTCTCTTTGATTGCTCTTGTTTTCTTGTAGTACCATAAGCTCTCAATTCTTCTACTAGAGCCCAGAAAGCCAAATACGACGATCCACCATTTTCAACTGCCTTCTTTGCCAAACCACTCATTTCCTTTGCCCTGTTTCTCATCTCAACGACTTCTTCGCCCGCCATCACTTGCTTAATTGCCTTGGCCAAAGCTTCTTCCTTCACCGCGTCACTCGAAATCCAGCTATTCTTATGTGCTCCGGCGCTAACTCCAATCTTCAATACATCAGTCAACAGCTTTTCATTGAAAAATTGATCTGCAAATAACGGACAAGTCACCATTCGCACCCCAGAACACACACCTTCCAGTACAGAGTTCCATTCGCAATGTGTCACAAATGCTCCCACGGCCTCATGTTGAAGAATCAAAATTTGAGGTGCCCAATCTGTAAAACGATATGGTAGAATATGTTTTCATATTAGGAAAATGATACAAGAGATGGTCATATATAAACCGATATAGCAACGTGATCAATATGGAAAAGATTAAACCCTATCCCTATCTCTATAAAGTAGGAAGATATCTCAATACTCCCCCTCAAGTTGGAGCATGAAGATTCAGAATGCCCAACTTGGAAAGAATCAAATAGAATTGATCGCGTCCCAATGCCTTGGTGAGGAAATCAGCCAACTGAGAAGTGGAAGAAACAGAATGAGGAAGTAGGAGTTTTGACTGGATGTGCTGACGAATGAAATGACAGTCGATCTCAATGTGTTTCGTGCGTTCATGAAAAACTGGATTAGAGGCAATGTGAATGGCAGCACGATTATCACAAAAGAGAGGAATAGGACGCGACTAATGAACACAAAGTTCCTGAAGGAGACGGTGGAGCCAGACAATCTTACTAGCGGTGGTAGCCATTGCCCGATATTCGGCCTCAGCGGAGGAACGGGAGACCACAGATTGTTTCTTGGATCGCCAGGAGATGGGTGAGGAGCCCAAAAATACAATATATCCAGTAGTAGACCGACGAGTGGTTGAACAACCAGCCCAATCAGCATCAAAATAGGCATGCAGCTTAAGAGAGTTGGCAGATGGTAGTAAAATGCCTTGTCCGGGTGCATTCTTTAAGTGATGTAGAATACGAAGAGCAGCATCATAATGCGGAACTCGTGGTTGGTGCATGAACTGGGTGAGAATATGCACAGCATAACTGATGTCCGGACGAGTAATGGTAAGGTAGAGTAAGCGACCGACGAGACGACGATAACGTCCAGGATCAGAAAAGAGATCGCCAGAATCAAGAGTAAGTTTGTGCTGATGTTCTATTGCAGTAGAACAAGGCCGACAACCAAGAAGACCACATTCATCAAGAATATCCAAAGTGTATTTGCGCTGACTGAGGAAGATGCCAGAAGAAGATCGAGCAACTTCAATGCCAAGAAAATATTTGAGAGGGCCAAGATCCTTGATATGAAACTGACGATTAAGATGCTGTTTAAGTTGCAGAATCTTCTGGGAATCATTTCCAGTCACAATAATGTCATCAACATATATGAGAACGGCCACGAAGGAGGTCGCAGTAGAAGAAGGAATAACGAGGGATCAGAAGCAGACTCCCGAAAGCCCGCTTCAAGCAGAGAATGAGTGAACTTTTGGTACCAGTTCCGCGAAGCTTGTTTTAAACCATAAAGGGATTTTTGTAGACGACAAACCCGAGTCTCCCCCTTTTTAGCAAAGCCTTGAGGGATTTTCATGTAGACTTCCTCATGGAGATCACCGTGAAGAAAGGCATTGGTGACATCCAACTGGTGAAGGGCCCAACGACGAACAGAGGCAACAGCAAGAAGACAGCGAACAGTAACTAATTTCGCAACAGGGACAAAGGTATCATGAAAGTCGATGCCTTCAACTTGAGTATAGCCTTTAGTGACAAGGCGGGCTTTGTAACATTCAATACTGCCATCCGGTTTGAACTTAGTCTTGTATACCCATTTAGAATCAATGGTGCGTTTCCCAGGGGGTAGAGAAACAAGAGTCCAAGTATGATTTGCCTCTAAAGCAGAGATCTCCTGGGCCATAGCGTTACACCAATGAGAGTGTTTAATGGCCTGAGAAAATGAAGTGGGCTCATCGACAGAAGAAACGGCCGCAAGTAGAGCTGTATGATTAGCACTAAAGTGGGAATAAGATAAAGTATGAGAGAGGGGATGTACCGTCGAGGAATCTGAAGGAGGGGTTGAGGATGGTGATGGATTGTTAGGGAGCAATGAGGGCGGAAGATTGATGTCAAAATCAGTGAGGTGGCGAGAGAGTTGACGAGTGCGCCGTACTGGTGGAGGAGATGTAGAAGCAGCAGCGGGCGAGGACGAAGCCGGAGAAACTGAGGTAGGAAGGTCAACATCTACAAATGACTGCGTAGCATTCAAAGGTTGAGTAGGTAGAATAGGATCGGAAGCTGCTTGGTGGGCAAGAAGATCGTTGTCTTGAGCAGTAGAAAGATTAGAAGTATCGGGGTCTCGGGAATAGGGAAAAATATTCTCAAAGAATTTGACATCACGGGAAGAATAAATCACCCTGCGGTCCAAATCATAGATCCTATATCCCTTTTGACCATGAGGATAGGCAACAAAAATTCCAGGTTTACCACGAGAATCAAACTTATCTCGGGGTTTGCCCAGAACATGGGCATAACAAAGGCAACCAAAAGTGCGTAAATGTGTATACTCAGGAGATGCACCAAATAAAAGCTCATAAGGGGTCTCGTTATTGATCACAGATAGAGGCATACGGTTAATCAAATATGCAACAGTGAGGATGCACTCACCCCAAAAAGCAATCGGGAGATGAGCCTGAAAACGAAGGGCTCGAGCCACTTCCAAAAGATGACGGTGTTTGCATTCTACAACGCCGTTTTGCTGAGGAGTGTGAACACAACTAGTTTGTCGTTCCATACCATAATCAAAAAAATGATTTTGCAAATCAACATGGGTAAATTCCAAACCACTATCAGTACGAAACACCTTTATGGGAGTTTGAAATTATGTAGCAAACCAATTGAAAAACATCAATAAATACCGTTTAGCCTCAGATTTATGCTTTATTATAAAAACCCAAGTAGCACGACTATAGTCATCAACAATAGTAAGGAAGAAACGTGCTCCAGAATGGGAGGGGGTATGATAAGGACCCCAAATGTCACAATGAACCAAATCAAATGTATGTAGGGTATTATTTTTATGCAAAGGAAATGGCAAACGCTTCTGTTTAGCTCGACAACAAGCATCACAAATTGAAATTGACTGTTGACTAGAAAATGAAATACTTGGAATGAGAGAAAGGCGACTGATTGGCATGTGACCCAAACGATGATGCCATAAGGTAGATGAACTATCCTTTTGTGCCAACAAAGTGTTCCGCCCCCCCACCAGTATCCAAATGCTCCAAGTAGTACAATCCATCACGTTCTCTCGAAGTCCTGAATAAAACAAAAATCAGGACCAAAAGTGAAGAAGCAATTTAAATCTCGAGTGAGTTTGCTAACAGAAACGAGATTAAATCGAAATTGAGGAACCCCCAAAACATCTTTTAAGACTAAATTTTTGTCAAAATGAAAATGGCCAACTGTTGAAACCGGAACCCTAGCACCATTAGGTATTTGGATAAAAATAGGATTAGATGGTCGAGAGACATCCTGCAATAAATGAATCAAATGGGTAGTGTGGTCAGTGGCGCCGGAATCGGCTGCCCAATCTGTCTTACCGGAAGAAGACGAAGTGGTAGAAGGAGGTGCAGCAACCGTGGGCGACTGATTACCCAACATGGCGAGAAGCTGCTGAACTTGCGATGGAGTTAGGGTTGCGGCTGCAGCTGAGGAAGATGGAGGCATGGTATCCGTGACAGAAGAAAATGCTACAGGACCGTGACGAGATCGTTGCTGGCGTTGAGGCTGTCGCGAACCAAATGGATAGCCGATTAATTCGAAGCAGTGATCAACCGTATGATTAGTACGCTGACAATGCGAGCAAAGAAGTTTATTTGGTCCACTGCCGCTGCGTTGATCATTCCTATCCCGAACATCTCGTCGGCGGTTATCACGGCGAGAATCAGCCGAAGATTTGGCAAGCAAGATGGTGGCTTCGACGACCGGAAGACGCTGATCAGAGATGCTTCTTTGTTTTTCATCACTGACAACAATAGAATAGGCTCTACCCAAGGTCGGTAATGGTTCGAGACTAAGGATTTGAGATCGCACCATTTTATATGTTTCATCAAGCCCCATAAGGAAGTCATAAACCTTTTCTTCTTCACGAATATTCTCCAGCTGCTTCTTTGCGCCGCAAGAACAAATGCCACAAGAATAGACCGGCAACGGACGAAGGTTCTGTAATTCGTTCCAAACGGACTTCAGTTTGCCATAGTAGGTTGCTGTGGAGGCCTTCTCCTGCTGCAGCAAGGCGATGGTACGCTTTAGATCATAGACGCGAGGGGCGATGCCTTGCGTGAATCGTTCTTGAAAATCCTGCCAGATCTCCAAAGCAGTATGGGTGTTAGCAGCACCAGGTTTGAGTTCCTTACAGACCGCGTTGGTGATCCAAGCTTTGAGCAAGGCATTGCATTGAACCCAACTTTAGAAATCATCGCTGTTAACAGCGGGTTTGAAGATCGTACCATCCAAAAATCCGGCTTTATTTTTGGATTCAAAAGCCGTTAAAAGACTATTCCGCCAAGTAAAGTAATTGTCGCCGGTTTCGACTAACGGATCGGTGACAAATAACAAGCCGAAATGATCAGAGGGATGGATGTAATACGGGGATTTCATATCAACGATGGGTTGAGTGATGACAGATGATGGTGGAGGAGGAAGATCGCCGGAATTGGAAGAAGCTTCAACCATGGCGGCGGAGGAGAAAATAGAGCCAGAGAAGGAAGGGAAAAAAAATGGTGGGTGACGGCTCAAAAAAAAATAAAAATTAGGGTTTGCTCTGTACCATGTAAAACGATATGGTACAATATGTTTTCATATTAGGAAAATGATACAAGAGATGGTCATATATAGACGGATATAACAACGTGATCAATATGGAAAAGATTAAACCCTATCCCTATCTCTATAAAGTAGGAAGATATCTCAATACAATCCGTTACAATCAATCCCTTCCCTTTAATTCTCTCTTCAAAATTCTCAGGGAACCATTTTTCTCTGTTTTCCTCATCTATGCATTTTCTCACGACCCATATGAAATCCTGGCCAGAGGACTCCAAACCCTTTGCTATGTAGTTGGGCTGCTGTGAAATGAGACAAACTTCCAAAACAAACCAAAACAACCCGAATTGGTCTCCCTGGAGTCCAGCCATTTCAAGCAATCATGCCTCTCGATGGATGATTCTGATTCTTCTCCATCGATCTGTAGAAACAGGGAGCCTATATAAATATTCTTCTCCCTTGTTACGAAGCAGTAGTAGTTTCAAGGGAGAAAAGAAGAACGAGAAAGGAAAGAATCATTGGAGTACCAATTAATTAGCTTTAGCTAGCGTTTTCACTACCTTAATTTGTAGTAATACAGATAACAATCATTTGTCTACAAATTATTTACATCATGTCCCTATTTCAATGTAATTTTTGCTTCGTGCCATGATAGTATAGTGTTGTTTTTTTTTATTTTAAAATCCATCTAACAAAAACAAACCGAAGAAGCTACTATCCGTTAACGAGCTACGGTCCTGATGAAAACAAAAAAAAAAAATGAAAACGAGCTACCTACTGCACATCACTGGGAATCTCTTTCCAATTCTCCATCAAACCAAACATGCTAACAAAGAAGAGGTGATGCATGAATTTAGGATCCAACCATTCCCCGACATTCTCTCATGAATGAACAAATTAACCGTTAGCACCCACCATTAGATCCTTCATTGTCCCTCTCTATATATATCTCTCTCTGGCCCAAATTAACATTCAAGATATCATCATCTCCATCTATTCCTCTTCTTCTAGGTTTTTAACAGTCCGGGAGAATTTACTTCCGGTCCAGCAAAAAAATAATAATAATAATAATAATAAAAGATGATGAAGATGAATTCATCATGCAGGGGGAGGAGGGTGTTGTTGGTTATAATTTCTTTTGGGTTGTTTTTTATGAAGCCAACCGAAGCCGGAAGGACGATCATCGATATAACTCACACGTATAATAATATCATCTCTGTTTGGGGCGATGTAGATGGAAGCAAACCAATCATCCACGAACAAGACGGCCACTCTTTCCAAACTGGCGAGTTTACCCTTGGAACTCACTGGGGCACCCATGTTGATTCTCCTCAACACTTGCTCAGCTTGAAAAAAAATCCCATCTCCGCCATTAATCTTGACCTTCAAACTTTAATCGGTTCGATTATCTTTTACACTGCTAATTTTCTTTTTCTCAAAATTTATTTTATTCATGTGTTTCGTTTAATAACTTCAGTCCATTTTTTAACATTATTATAATGTTCGTAATGCATCGATAAAAGGGTTTGCTGTCGTTGTATCATACTTAACAAATTCAATGTGGCTGTGCAGGTCCGGTGCTGGTTGTTAGAATTCCTACTGGAGTTCGGAACATAAATGGTATGCATATTTTTTGTACTTTCTCTGTCCAAAAAAAAAAAAATTCACATCAAATTTTTAAATTAGATTAACTATCTTCTTAACGTTAAATTCCTTTGTTTTCAATGGTTATGATTGTTTTAATATAACTATTATAATAACAATGTAATGACTTGTGGACTTTTGTTACAAATACCTAGCACAAGTCCTGAGAGATTTGGATCTGCCCATCGGACTAGAAAGAGTTATCTTTAAGACCGATAATACTGACAGGTAAAAATTCAAGCGAAAAAGATTTTCCAAAGTTCAATTTGCATGGGTCTTCAAGTACATACGTCGCCTACATACAATATATATATATATATATATATATATATAAAAATAAAGGTTTGTGATTTGGGCAATAATCAACATACGTAACAAAGCTTGTATCTGGTCTGCTGTGATTTTTCAGGCGCCTCATGAATCAGATACCTTTTGAATGGAATTATACCGGACTGGTTCCAGATGCAGCAGCATGGTTGGCGCAGAACACTACACTCAAATTCATTGGTAAGCGATAAAAAACTACCCTACATTACTCCATTTATACATTGGGAGGGGGAGGGGGAGAAATTAATTAAGACGAATGAATAAGAAATTAGAATCTTACTAGTATTATTTAGCTCTTGGTTGCTCTTAAAAGAGATGATGCAAAACTAGTTTATTGAAAGGGGAAAAAAGAACCAAAAAAAAGCAGAAAGATAAATATGATCTTTTTTTTTAGACATTCCCGGGCAATATCTTATATATATTTTTTTAATTTGAATTTCTTTTCAGGCCTGGATTATATGTCAGTTGCCGCATATGACTACGTTGTTCCAGTTCATGACATTTTGTTGAACAAGCCGGTATGTGTTTTTAACCCACTTTTCTATTTCTTTTGTTGAGTAAACGAAAAATCACTAGAAATTAAATAGATTAGTTTAAGCTGGACGGCCCAAGCAATAGGTATGTGTGTGTATATATATTTATTTTCTTATTTGTTCGTCTTAACTATATTTAGAGAGAAAGAGAGAGAGTAAAAATTATCCTCGAGAAATCCCCTAGCCAAACGTGACATCACTATTTGGGTAATGTAAAGCTGATTAATTTTAGGTCTAATAATTAATTAATTCAACAGGGCGTAATTCCAGTGGAATGCTTGAATCTTGAGGGCGTGGAGCCAGGATATTACGATGTCTACTGCTTGCCTATAAAGGTTGCTATGGAGGCAGCACCAGTGAGATGCATCCTCATGAAATAAACCCCCCATTGTTCATGTACTTCGCGGTAGTCTCTTCTTTCTCTATAATTAATGTTGAAAAAAAAAGTGGGAAAAAAAAACCATCATTCTTCACATAATCACATTTTTCCTCCGTCCAAAAAAAATAATAATTTATTTTATTGATCGGAAGCCAGATACGAAATTACACTATTCTTTTTTACAGAGTAAGAATTATTCGATTACTGTATATTGTTGTAAAACAAAATCAATCTCTAAAACATATATCCTGCTATCTCATTTGCTCTTCACTTTCAATCCACAACATTTACACCATCATTTTTCTTACTGCAGGGATGCGAATCCGTGATTTTTCACGCACACAATCAATAATCTCTCGGTGGAATATCATGTGGGCTGCTGTGTGTATTTATGGGGTTGTTAGGTACATGTGTGTGTGCTGAACTTGGAATGGGGAGAAGAAAGATGATTGAATCTCCCTCCATTTAAATCAACAAAATGTACTCTTTCGAGCTTCTTGTACTCACTGTCCAGCCATTTATATAGATTGACTCCTTTCTTCCCAAAGTTAGATTTTTTTAAAATTTTTTTTTTAATTGGCGTTGATTTTAGCCTTTACTAGTTTTACTGCCAAACTCAATCATACATATTCATGTGTTATATTTAGGGGGAAATGAATAATTACTGGTTCTAATTGTAGATGGAAGAAGTAACACCCGTTAGTTCTGCAAATAACAATCATACGATTCTTAATTTCACAAAAGTAAGATACAAAAACGATGGAACAAAAGCCCAGGGCCATAATTATTGAAACTATTAGATCGACAACGGTCCCAATCATAACCCGCTTTCAATATATATGCATGAATGCTCCTTTAAGTCCAACGATATTAATTTTCAGTGGCAAAAATTAGTCACCGTAGTTTAGGACATAATTACTCAAACTGAATCATGAATTTATAATAGTTGTATCCAATGTTTAGAAGAAAAACAAACAAAATGGCATGAATCAAAGGATTACATTGATGCTCTCAGAGTAAATAGCTAGTCACCATAGCCAAAGGATTACTAGTTTTGTTTTGACACTGTTGTTTTCTGAAACTCCCAAGAGTTAGTTAGATGCACTGCTTTTGGGGTCTATTTCTAAATTCAATAAAATTTAGGAATCCTCATCGGATTCTTTTTTCTAAAAAGAAAAAAAAAAATCTATTTTCCCCTCTTTAATAGCCCTTCAATGAGTCAAAATCTTTTGTCCTCCCAGCCTCTAGTTTCTGTCTAAGAACATATATTGTACGAGATTCTCTCCCCGTAATAACATAGCCTCCTGCGTACTACATATATATCTACGGAATTTGATTGGGAGAATTATTATAATGGGCATCAGAAAGATACAAATTATTATAAAGGGCATTGGTTATGTTTGTTCATTATCATATTACTCTCTCCGGTTCTTATTATAAGGAATTTTGATTTGTCCAAAATTTCACCTTAAATGTTTTTAATTAAAATAAAAATCTTAAAAACATTCACTAACAATTATGAGAACTCAACGAATATGAAAATATATATTTTTAGGTTTTTTTTCAATTAAAAAGATATTTTATGTGAAACTTAAGACAAATCGAAATGCCTTATAATAAAGACCAGAGGGAGTATTTTATTTGTTTTGTCGCACTACAAATGACTCTTTTATCCTTAAAAACTTCCTTTTCAACACCCATTGAATTAGGGAGAACCTAAACCAATTTTGATGAGTCCAACATTTGAGATTCAAGTATTTCTACATTTCTCATTAGTACCCAGTAATCCTAGATTGAGTTCCTATCAAATCCACCTTATATAAACATACCCATGTTGCTCCAAAAAAAAATAAAATTAAAACAATAAATTTAATTGCTTTTCCTAATTTTGTGTTGGAAGAGTCCTATCATATGATTAGGATAATAACTTACTCTCTGACATAAGGGACAAACCCAATGTTACAAGTTGCAACTTTCGACGGCTGCTGATTCCGCCAAAGTAATCTCAATGAATTTGGGCTTTGTATTTTTGGATCAAAATTATTCTATGGCGACGATCATCCAATTGACATGGTCCTAAAAGTTCAATTAGATTGATTTTCGGAAAATATAGGAGGATTATGGTTTTGTAGTTGATTTGTGTCGAGGAAGAAAGCAAAATAAGAATTCTTGGCAAATATGTGAATTGAGAGCATTTTGGTGAAGCGGCCGCCGATAGATGATTTGGAAAGAGAAAGAATCCGTTCGGAATGAAGTGAAAAGTTAGGGATGAAGGATACATAGTCTTTTGTTAAGTGAAAGTATTGTCGAAATATTTAAATGGTAATAAAAAAAATCCATGCCTTCTATAATAAATTATAAAATGTTCCCATGTCTTAAATCAAAATTTTCCCAATTTGATTTCATAATGTTAAAATTTTATTGGAGGTTTTTTTTTTTTTTTTGAGAAAGAAAGTAGTTTTTTAAGCTTGTTGGGAAATTTCCATATGCGATTGACAGAAATGATATAATTCAGACCACATTATACACAGACAACTACTATTTTTAACATAGAAAGCTAAATTATGGGCTACCGTACTCTCTGTTCTGCGGCTCCAGTACAATCTCAAGCAAGATAGCCGGGACAGGCTTAAGTACTTCAGACTTCAGTAATATCTCCTGGTTTTACTCGATGTCCTGCTAGCAATTTGTTGATTTCCTGCTTCCCAAAATTAGACACACTTTTTTTAAAAAAATATAGAGTTTGAATATTACCTTTAACACATTCACAAACAAAATTAATATAATAACATGTTATATTTGCAAAAAAAATAAATAATTATATCTCCTTAAAACATGAGTATGCAAATGAGGTGTTGGTTCAGTGGTAAAATTATCCTTACTCTCAAGAGGAGGTCATGAGTTCAAATCCCTACTCCAATAAGAGTTATGGGTAGCTTTAACATTGCCAATGAACACCTCTAGAGAGTTTGTTATGGCAAACCCATTCATGAACTCCCGATTTTGCACCCGTTCTTGTCATTCCGTGGTTGCCTAAAGTTGTTTACCTCCCACTGTTGTTTGCAAACTATTGCAGTGGGCGTGGATTCTCGGTGTTACCAAAAAAAAAAAACATGATTATAGATGGGCACCTCTAGAGGGCTTGTTATGGCAAACCCGCTCATGAACTCCTGATTTCGCACCCGATCTTGTCACTCCGGATTTGTTAAGGGTGATTTACTTTCCACTGTAATTTGAAGGTTATTGCAGTGGACGTGGATTCCCGAGGTTAAAAAAAAAAAACATGATTATAGATGGAAGACGTAATGTGCTCTTGTTTTGCAAATAAATGATCGGATTATTTAAAGGGAAAGTGATTGTTCACCACTTAAGGAGAGCAAGCTCAAAAGTCAACCATTTTATAAATGTTTTCAAAAAGAACTGGAGGATGCTAAAAAAAAATTTAAAAAGTGAAAATTTGTAGTGATTTTAGTACAGTAACTGATATGTATTCCATTGATTATTTTTTTAAGATGTTAATTAAAGAAAAATTAACACATCTATCATTGTTCGAAGTCAATGTGATCTTTTTCTATACTTATCATTTTTCAAAAATTAATGTTTTCAAATTCGTATATGGGGTTGGTCTCACTGGCTGCTTGGAACTTGGAAGTCATATAATAAGTTAATAACAAGGGAGGTGTCGGATGTGTAAGAAGATCGTGACGAAGTAACTCGGCGATTGCTATGTTTCAAATAGGTATTGGAATAGTAATTATTAAACGATTGCTATGTTTCTTTTTTCATAGGCATGAGGATAAAATTTCAAATTTTTAATAAATTAAAGAAAAAATAAATTTTGGACAATAATTTTTAACAGAATGAATTCACATTACCATATCAAGGTTTCAACTTAATTAGAATATATTGTTTTTGTTTCTAAGTAATAAATTTTAAGATTAAAACAAGATATACTGAAGACTGAAGAGATCACGTGGGATTATCATTACTTGGTATCGTAATCTCATTACCAGATAAAATTAATTATTTACCTTTAATTTTTCATGAAATACAATAATAATCAGAAAGAAATCAAATCACCATAGTGAAAGCTATACATACATAGCCGCGGTTTGAGAGTTCGAGAGTTTCATAGAAGAATTTGAAACATGTTAGATAAACTATTAAAAAAATAAAATAAAATCTGGTAGCTTTTTGTTCATGTTTACTATGCTATATTCTTCTTCTTCTTCTTTTTTAGTAGTACAATATTGAAAAAGACATATCCCGGGAAAAACAATAATATTTTTCCAAGGACAGGAAACATGTACAGTCCACATTTTGTGGTTAATGTTGTATTTTTGTTTTTTTTAGTACAATATGTTGTATTTTTGTTAGTTACATGGAAATGCATGAAATCGTTCGCAATGGAATTTAAAAAGGGCAAAAAAAAAAAACAAAAAAAAGGTGGATTAATTAGGTGAAGGTTTGGGAGGCAAAATGAACACAGGCTGGAACTCAGACATACTCCCTCTGTCCCATAATTATTGTCCAATTTGAGTTTTCATTTCTAGTTTAAATTGTGCTAAAAGTAAAATCTCAAACTGAACAATAATTTTGGGACGGAAGAGTAACTTTTGACAGTTTTTTTAAACACTTGTAATCTACTTCATCCTCAGTGGCGCCAAAAAAAATCATAATTCCATTAGTACTTTATTTGTTTTCTTTTTTTAAGAAGGTTATAATGTTCCATGAAGTTTTTTTAAACAGAAAACAGCTGACTTCGTGCATGTGTGGTTCATGTTTATTCCCAATCTCCACCGGAATAATGGGGGAATCCAGCCGTCTATATCTTCACCTTCATTTTAGCACAAGTCCTAAATTCTTCCTCCTATTCATAAATACCTCCGCACATCTCTCCATTTTCTCCAAGTCCACCATTTTCCACCCCAATATATATACACCGTTTTGATCAAACGTGATATTATTTTTTGCCGAGCAGGAGGATTACTCCGGCGAGGAAACGGGGAAGATGGTGATGACGAAAAAATCGCCGACCAGGACGGCATTGGTGTTTGTCGTGGTGGCGGCCGTGAGCCAGCTGTTTGTGGCCGGTTTGGCGAAGAAGACACCAAGATTCCCACCAGCAGTACCACCGGAACGATTCGGCGAAGGCAGCATAAAAGATATCAGCCTGGTGGTGAAGAACCGGGATAACGCGTCGGTTATACCGGAGCTGATAGGTAATTATTACGGAGAAATGGTGACCGGATATATTAAGATGCAAACTCATGCCGGAACCCATCTTGTTTCTCACGGTTACATCTCCCCAGATAGCTATACCGTCGATCAACTCGACTTCAGAACTCTTGTCGGTATGTATGTACACATTTATAATAATAAAAAAAATGCGCGACAATTAATTCATCATTGTTTGATTATTAGGAAAACAACTTAACCTTATACAAGATGTTCATTTTTTTTAACCAAAAAAAAAAAAAAATACTACTAGTAGGTAAGTAAGTTGTGGTAGCATATTAATCATAGAAATAGAGTAACGTCAATAATGTATATATCGATAATAGGTTTACGTAAATTCGTTCTCTTACAAAAGATGAAGAGCTAGGCTACATACATTAGTTCCATGTTCGGCCAGCCAGAACCCAAATACATCTAATGAGATAGACGGTTGGTTCACTTAGCGGTCAAAATGTCTTTTCTGTCCCAAAAACATAGTACACATTGAGTTTTTAGATTGATATTTTTTTTTTACAAATTTAAAATCTCAATATGAAATATTTTTTGGGACAGAGAGAATATGTATAGAGTAGAGTCAACGACATATAATTACTTTCTCTAATCTTAATTATAAGGTACAAATTTAAATTAATTTTAATATTAATTTGTGACTTAGACTTATTAGGAGGGAAGGGATTAGACATGACCTTAATGTTTTTAGTAAAAAATAATGTAGTTAACTTGTAAGTTGTAACAAAGTGAATTGCATGTGTATTTTGCAGGTCCGGTTTTGGTTGTCGATATTCCTGAAGCCATCCAGCGTATAACTGGTATGACATGCATGCATTCTTCCGCATAATTCCGCGCTTACCGATAAACTTCCGTTTATGTAAAATTTTCTTTTCACATACATAAAAATATTCAACCGGGGAATGCATGGTTGATCTTAGATTATCACTGCACTTATTACGTTTCTTCTAAGTTTGGTTCATAGTTTCAACTTGTGTACATTCAGAGCTTTCAAATTCAGTGGCTATACATAATAATAGTTATGATATTGGCATTTTTGCAGCTGATGTGTTGCAGTCCTTAAACCTTCCCGTGGGATTGAAGCGTGTGATTTTTCGGACGACGAACACTATCCAGTAAATTAACCTATAAATACAAACTCTGTTCTAGCTAGCTACATTATTATTAATCACAATGTTAATTACAGTATGGAAATCACCATAAAAAATCTAAACCTTTTACGTGCACTTGAAATTTCCAGGAAATTCATAGAGAAGCCATTCAATCCCAATTATACGGGATTGACACCAGATGCGGCAACTTGGTTGGCCCAAAACACCGCCATTGAATTTGTTGGTAATAATGTAGGAAAAAAAAAAAAAAGTTGTGCTGTATGCGAATTTCTTCCCAATCGCCCGTCGTTTTTACTAAAGTTGCCCTGATCTTTCCAGGAAATGATTACGTGTCTGTTGCAGTGGATGATCAAAGGACCGAAGTTTATGAAAACTTATTTGCAAAACCGGTGAGAATTCAATTTGTCATAAATTAATAACTCTCTCGTTCTCAAAATTATTATACAGTTTGAATCTAACTGGATTATAATTTGGGAACGGTGAGGTATTTCTGTCGACAGTATGAATCAGTGACCTGCTTGTTGCTTCTAACATGAATGTTGTAAATTAACGTTTTGATTTGCTGATCCGTTGATGGTTTGGTAATGAATGAATGAATTACTCTAGAAAATGGTGGCCGTGGAAGGTCTACTCCTTAATGATATCAATCCAGGAGAATACACAGTCTACTGTTTTCCATTGAGGTTAGAGGCAGAGTCATCACCAGCCAGGTGCATTCTTGTTCAATGACATTCTCCCGTAAGTAAGTAGTTTTCGCAGCTCATATATCCAAATACTGACTGTTAAGACTCTCTTCATTTTGGTCACTTTCTCATTTAATTCAAACCATCTTTTCCTTTTCTTCCCCCACTTGTGCAGGGAACAAAAGAAAATGTGTTATCCCAGTTACGCTCGCTCCTCTAAATTCATTGGCTCGATGGGGGGCGATTGTCCTTGTAGGGCTAATATATAGTGTTCCACATAAATGTACTTCCAACAATCTATTCATATCGACTATTGTTGTTTGGGTCTGAATTTTTGTTTTTTCCCCACTTTTTATTCATTGATGAAAAAGCGAGGTGATACTCTTTTTCTTTTTTTTTTTTTTTTCCTTTAACACAAATCAATATAACCAGAATTAATCTAACTTAACAAACGTAAAGTTCTCAACAGCTGATGCGAGCATCAGTCACCTAGTAACAAACTCTTCACATCCATTTCCTTTTTCTCCTTTCAAATGTGATTTTTATGTTAAGGATGACGTATACTATACACAAAACAAAAAGAATACTCTCTCCATTTCACTTTAATAATTTCATTTGTTAAACTTTAAACTAAAAACAATTACTATTAAAAACGAGACAAATTTATTGATATACTCCCTCCGTCCCATAATTATTGTCCAGTTTTACTAAAATGAAAGATTTTATTTTTGGTCAAATTTAACTATATTTTACCTTAAACAACCGGATATACCCCTACATAAGTAATTGTTTAACCACTAAGATTTTATGGATAATGTTTTTTTTACTAAGGACAAATGTGCAACTTGATCAATAAAAAGTAAAATTGGATAATAATTTTGGGATAAAATTTTTTGGGCAAAATGAACAATAATTATGGGACGGAGGGAGTATTTTTTTTTCTTTTTGTCAGACACGTTTTATCGAAGAAAAGAAATAAGGAAATACAAATGACGAGCCCAAAAACAAAATTCATTATGGGCCTTCAAAGGCCCAAAAGCAAAAAAGTTGTTCCGGGCAACAATGTACTAAATTCATGGACCGTCGGAAAATTTTCCAAAAAAAAATATGACGGACCTCGTTTTATAAGGTACTACTCAGTACCATTTTCTCCCAGCGGCGGAGAGAATATTTTTAGCCCCAGTGCTAAAACCCAACGCTTCAAACGACCGAAACCCTCAATTTCCGGCCAATTCATCTGCCGCCGGAGGATTTTCACAAACGCAAAATGTCTAACCAGAGATTTCCGACGGTGAAGATTCGGGAGCTGAAGAACGACTACTGCAAGTTCGAGTTGCGCGACACCGATGCGAGCATAGCCAACGCGCTGCGGCGCGTTATGATTGCGGAGGTCCCGACCGTCGCCATTGACTTGGTGGAGATTGAGGTGAATTCCTCCGTTCTCAATGACGAGTTCATTGCTCACCGTCTCGGCTTGATCCCCCTCACCAGCGAACGGGCCATGAGCATGCGCTTCTCACGTGACTGCGATGCCTGTGACGGTGACGGCCAGTGCGACTATTGCTCCGTCGAGTTCCATCTCAGGGCCAAATGCATCGGCGACCAAACCCTAGATGTCACCAGCCGGGAACTCATCAGCTCCGACGCCACTGTTGTCCCCGTCGACTCCGCCGACTCTGGATATGACAATCTCGAGAACAGGTCCACTTTCCTCCTGCATTTTTTAGACTTTTTAGTTCTTGTGTTGGCGTTTTCATGGTTTGAATTTCCAGGCTTTATTTTTCCGTTGGAATAGAGTCTGCATTATTGTCCTAAACCTAAATTGCCCCCACCTCCCACTTTTTTTTTTTTTTTGAGGATCTACTGTGTATTTTTATAATTGGTTTTAGTATAGAAGATTTCCGTCTTGGTGTTCTGACTGGTTACTGTGAAACACATTTTTGTTTTGCAATTTGTAATCCATGAAATAGGTAAAGTGGCAATGTGTTTTGAGCTATCAAACCCAAACAACGTTTTTATGTATGTAACAATGTAAACGGAGGTGTGCTTAGAGTGGAAGTCTTTTCTACTATTTTGTGTTATATGGAACCCTGTGATAGCATTTCAGATACACATATCTTGGAAGTTTTCCGAACTACAGTTGGTCCCATTGTTGTTCTTCTTGGTAAGGGTTAGTAATGTATGCTTCGAGTTAATTCTCTGCATTGTTGGCAATCAAAGCATATTTTTACTTACTTTGCTTTACTTTGAGGTACTGTTGAATTTCGCGGGAAAAAGTTGAACATTGTTATAGGTTGCTTGATTTTTTTTCTTCAATTTGTTTTGGGAGGTAGTATGTTTGGAGTTGGTTGCAAGGCTAGGCTACTGTCTGCTTAGATTTGTTGAATGGGCTGTCATTATGCTTTTATATCCAACATTAAAGCATTCATAATGTGTAGTACACCTTTTCGTCTGCAGAGGAATTATAATCGTGAAGTTACGTCGCGGACAGGAATTGAGGCTGAGAGCTATTGCCCGCAAAGGAATAGGGAAGGATCATGCCAAATGGTCGCCTGCTGCAACTGTTACATTCATGTATGAACCAGACATCTACATCAATGAAGACATGATGGAGAAATTATCTCTAGAAAAGAAACTAGAAATAATTGAAAGCAGCCCTACCAAAGTCTTTGGCATTGATGAGAACACTGGAAGGGTAAGTTTTGTTGGCTTCATAATATTCGTTTTAGTCATGTCTCCGGTGTTACTGAATCTATAGCATATTAATGAGGGATAAAGGATTCTACTTTTTGGGCCTTCAATAAGTGCTGTATGGGAATTGTTGCCTGTAATTACATTTGTATAGTATGTTAGCTCCTCTTTCCTTGGTTATTATTGATTTGTATGACTATGTTTATTTGTTTATTTGCTCTGCTTGGATTTTTCTCTCGATTCTATCATTCCTCTTCGATAAAGCCGGTTGCAGCGGCTGTGATGTATCTGTATTCTGTCATTCTGGTTATTCAAAAACAAATAAAATATTCTGTCATCCTGTGTCGCAGATGATGATCTTTTTGTTTATGCATGAAAGAGAATTTCAGGGTTTATATACACTGTATATGCGTTTTAATTTTTGTGACCAAAGATGGTAAGAAGCTATCTTTTAGTTGTATTGAATTTGTCTTATGTCATCTGCTAGTTTTGAACTGTATTTCTTTGGTATGCAATTATTGTTATTTCCTGTTAATATCTTGATAGCGGTTTCCATTCTGAACGTCTTTCTAATTGTTTCTTTACTCTTATTCATCTACCTCTTGCATCTGCACTTTCCTGCAGTTCATTGTGGTTGATCCGGAAGCCTATACTTATGATGATGAGGTCCTCAAGAAATGTGAGGCCTTAGACATGCCAGGACTCATTGAGATACGTCCCAAGGAAGACACTTTCATCTTCACCGTTGAGTCCACTGGCGCCATCAAAGCTTCCCAACTTGTTCTTAATGCTATAGATATTCTGAAGCAGAAATTGGATGTAGTCCGGTTATCGGAGGACACTGTGGAAGCTGATGACCAGTTTGGAGAATTGGGTGCGCATATGCGTGGTGGCTGATCCTTAGTAACTCAAGGTCTAACTACTAAGTTTAGTATGCGTAGAAAGTTCTGTTTAATGTTGTCTTTTTGCGCACCCTAGAATTATCCCGAACCTTTTCTGGGCAATGACTGACTTCTGATTGGAGATATTTTATGTGCGTATGACAACCATTATCCGGACATGGATGTTAAATGAATCATCTGTAGGAACTTGTATTTAGTGTCTTTCAGATTGTTGAGGAAACTTGTTCGTATCTGGCAACTATGTTTGTGTGTCTTTCTTAATTCTTAAATCTCGTAACTGGGAAAGTGCAAGATGGATTTCATACAGAATGAAATTCGAAGTAAATAAATGATTTTATTTTATACTAACGGAATGTTTCTCTTTTTCAAAAAAAAAAAAAAAAACGGAATGTTTCTTAATCCTTATGAAATGTACCCTGCTGGTTCGTGTTCTTTATCTCTATGAATACAGCATATGGCTAGTTAGGTCCAATCTGTCTATAAAACAACTTCACCTGGATTGTTGTAATCAAATTTGATCACTTGAACCTAAGTATAGCTTTGGAATCAGAAATCAGAATCTCATCTCTGAAGATGCTTACATGTGGTTGTCTTAATCTTAACAATTGTGACTATCCACATTGAACTGCAAGGAAAGATTTCTATCTGCTGCATTAGTCCTGAGCTTCAAAAGCCTTTCTTCCCTCCGTACCTTTAATTCATGAAGTATGCCCTAAAACCTAACAGGTTGCATTTGAATGGTTTCCTCTGCTCCACACTCTTTAAGACCAACATCAATGACAGTAGCATCAGCAGAAGATCGGAACACATCACAACATTGTCTTCTTGGTGCCTGCAACTGGAAATTCACGAGGAGCAAACACATCATATATACATAATTCGAGCTTAAATTTGTCCACACAGAATCCAAAAGAACTTGTACCTGTTTAAAGCTGAGGTCCAACTTTTTTGAGAAGACTCTGATTTCATCTATTTTGTTGAGGCGAGTACAATTACGATACATTATCTTATAGATGCTTGTAGTTTTGTCGCCATTGGAGGAGACGCTGTCAAAAAAGAACACAGTTGGCCGGCTACATGGATCAGGATGATAAAACTGTTGTACATCAAAATTAACAGTGCGTCTCTGATCCCATGTTGCTGGAGCACGCACGATATCACTGAGAAATACATTTGATCCCACCCATTGGATTGCGTATCCCCAAGACACTGAAATCGTTGAGGAAAAAGATTTATCATAGCAGACTGTTTGCTGCAAGATCCTCTCAGAATCAACTTTTGCAGCACTCATTAAGTGTTGCACAGCCTCCAAAGTTGTCATGTTGGGAAAAATTGGATCTACTGCATCCATATGATGGAGAGTAACCAATGGCCTTATTGCATGGGCACTTAACAAACCAAAAATGTCTCCTTTCACATCCACCTGAGGAAAGTTTTCAAGCTCAGAGATATCAGAGAAATTGGAAACACCAGAAAGGATAAAAGAGACAGAAAAAAGAACTGACAACTTACTTGATGAAATCCAGGTTCATGAGTTAAGGAAATTCCCAGCTCTGTCAAACAGGCGTAAAGTCTTTTATCACTGGTCGGAAACCAGTGGAATCTTTTCTGGCAAGAGTCCAATACTTTAGCCAAGACTTTAGCCAGGGGATAACTAAGAGCAAAACCACCTCCTCCGAATGCCATTTCAAAGGAATTACCTTTATTCGCTTGGAAAAATTCTGAACTGGCTCCAATGTAATACCACAGGCCATGATCATACTTTTGCAGGGTTTTTACCAGATTATCAGGAAAGAAAAACGTATCATCATCTCCAAATACAAACCATCTTACATTGTTATCATAGTTCAAAGCCACAGTCTCTGATACAACTCGGACAACACGGACAGTTGAGCTTGAAACACGTTTCTTATCATATGGAATTCCGGAAGTGTCAGCTGAAATGCAAATAGGAGGAAGATCAGAAACGTGATCTTCATTTTCCGACGGTGATGTGGCGTTTTTTGGAGGCATTTGTTCAAGAAAAACACACCCCTTCATTATTCCTGGCCTCCACCAAAGACTAACATATTCTTTCCTCCTAGACCATGTTTTTCCACTGCCGGCAATCCCGAAAACAATGTGTTCAAGGGAGGTTGGAGAGGCTAAATTCTGTACAGAGTTTGCTGAATAACGATAATGACAGTGGTGTACTGCATCTGGAATAAGGCCTAATGACAGGAGAAAATAAATACCAGAGATTATGAAACTAGATACTATAAGGCAATGTATAAACCTGGATGGGGGATGGGATGTTGAATTTTCCTTCAAATTCATTCTGAGATGCTTAATTGAAGATGACTGATTCAGTGGTTTTGGACCATGACAGATAGTTATATAAGGTCAGAAGTATCAAAAGGTGGAAATTGGAAACTGAGGTTTGTAGTTGAATCCCACATTTTCTGGGCACATGCAGAATCTTTGGATGGAAGCAACATGTTGGAAAACGAGTTTTTGGGCCCTTTTTTCTTGTGAAGCAAAAAGAATCCATCACATGCATGCAAAGGCCAAAACCTAAGAGATTAAAGGCAGCAATGATGATTAATTTGCAATCAAGTTTATTGACTGAACCGGGGTAGTAGAAAGAAGTATTGTTTTGCTGACCGTGGAAGCTAAATTATCACTTGTACATACTAATGCATGCATTAATTCACATTGGCACATTTGAGCTTCGGTTCCACAGATGTGACTCCTTTACAGATTTTTTATTTTTTTTTTCAAAAGCGATATTCATTTCTGATTATAAAGAAAATGAAGAGCACTATACCAGACTACTGGACGGGTAGTTTTGTTAGCTTCATAGGGTTCGCTTTTGACAGCCTACCGGAACTTTTAAGCTTCAACAAAGTTCTTGTTAGTCTGGAATTTTTACTTCTACATTTTGATAATAAGTAACCATAAACAGTGGCCTCACTTTCCATTTTCTGTAGGACATTGGGATCTGAAGATATAACGTTCTATACTTTGAATCTTGTAAGACAAAGCATACCAATTGCAAACAATTATTACATGTATATTCTATGAACAACACCACTCATCGTAGTTCAAACGCGCTTAGGCATCAGAAATCAGAACCGCAATCTTCCAAAAACGGCAGTCATTGTGATGATGATACTTGCAAGTGGGTGTCCTGAAAAAAAAAATTTAATTTCCAACCTGCACCAGTCCAAAGCTGGTAAAAGTTTTTCATCCATAACTTTGACTCATGAAGTGCAGAAGCCTAAGTCTGCATTTGAATGAGTTCCTCCGCTCCGCATTCCCTAATGCCAATATCAATGACCTACCTATTAGCGGCAGAAGATCGCATTACATCAACACATTGTTGCCAGCATCTCCAATTTACAATGAAAACAAATTGTTAATCAACTTACTAAACCAGAATTCGGCACTAGAATTGCAAATAACCTGACCTGTTTAGCGTCGAGGTTCAACTTTCTTGAGAAGACTCTAATTTCAACAACTTTGTTGTCGTTAGGACAAATACGATCCACTTTCTCGTAGATGCTCATAGTTCCATCGCTGCTAAAGGAGATACCGTCAAAGGAGAACACATCTGGCCTTTTGCATGTATTAGGGTCAAATCTCTCCGTATCAAAGTTATAATATTTGTTCCTGTTCCAGGACCTATAAGTTTCCCGAGCGCGAATGATATCAGGTACAAGTACATTTCCCTTCCACTGTTGGATTGCATATCCCCAAGATACTGAAAATGTTGAGGAGGAAAGTTGATCGCAGCAAACAGTTATCTGCAAGATCCTCTCAGGATCAACTTTTGCTGTTTTCACAAGCTGGCTTAAAGCCTCCAAAGTCGTCATGTTGGGGAAAAATGGATTTACTTTATCCAAATGATGGAGAGTAACCAATGGCCTTGTGGGATGAGCGGTTAACAAGCCAAAAGAATTTCCCACTAAATCCATCTGATTACAGGTTTCAAATTCAAAGATATCAAATGAATTGAAAAAACCTTCTCATTGAAATAGGAGAAAACCTAAAAGAGTAACAATAGAGATGATGAATTCATCGTGCAGGTGCCTGATGTGACACAAATAAGTCTATAAAATGAAGAATGTCATCTCTTAAAATGTGAATTGTAACAACTAACAATGATTATTTGTTTTCTTCCATGTATGTCCCTTCAGCCAATGGCTCATTTCACCAGATTGATTCACTCTATTCACCATTACTCTGGGGGCAGAAAATAGGAAAAAAAGAATATAGTACCTGATGAAATCCAGTATCATATGTTAGAGAAACTCCAAGCTCTGCTAAACAGGCATGAATCCTTGCATCACTGCCAAAGAGACTATGATAACTGATCAGGCAGGAATCCAAGACTTTAGCCAAGACTTGAGCCAGGGAAGAGCTTATAGCAAAACCAGCTCCTCCAAATGCCATTTCAAAGGAATTAGCTCTATTCGCCTCAAAATCCTCCGAATTGGTCCCAATATAATACCACAGGCCAAGATCATACTTTTGAAGGGTCTTCACAAGATTGTCAGGAAAAAAAACTGTATCATCATCTCCATATACAAACCATCTTACATCATTATTGTCCTTCATCAAGGCCACAATCTCTGATATAACCCGGGCTACCCGAATAGCTGACTTAAGACCATATCTGTGCGTATTTTTAAATCGAGAAGTATCATTAGAAATGCATATAGAAGGAAGAGAAACACTGTGATTTTCTGATAATGATGTGTTTGGCGGCATTTGTTCAAGGAAGACGCATCCCTTCATTATTTTTGGCCTCCACCAAAGCCTAACATATTCTTTCCTCCTTGACCAGGATTCTTCACTGGCTGCAATGCCGAAAACAATGTGTTCAAGGGAGGTAACTGTAGAAGAGGAATTTTGTACATCATTAGCTGAGTGATATTGCCAGAGATGTGGTGCATTTGGAAGAAGGGCTAATGACAGGAAAATGTAAATACCAAAAATCAAACAGGATGTTACTATGATGCAATTTACAAACTTGAACAAGGGATGGGATGATGAATTGTCCTTGGGATTTTTCATCCTGAGAGGTCTAAAGGAGATTCAATTCAATAATATGTAGTAACTTTTATAATACAGAATACAAGGTCAAATGTCATATATTCGTTGGATGAAATTAAGGAACTTGAATGTTGGAAAGATTTGGTCTCTTTTCAGCTTAAAAAGCAAATAAATCTTACGCAGTGAAATTGCAAGTCGCATAATAACCAAAGAGTTGAAAGGAATAGTAAAGATTACTTGTTTGATACAAGTGGCGGTTAAGGCTAATGTCCAAACCTTTAAACTACCGGTTAAGGCTTGATTTAAAAGACAAGGTGGGGTGCTCCCGAAATAATTGTCCTGCTCGTTAGACCGGGATTATCATTTTGGGACGAATGGAGTATACTGTTGTTTTAATGTTAGTTACTTCTTGTGAGAGCGAACCAACATCCCATACTTATTCATACAATAAACCTTACAAAATCCACAATAGTGAAATATACAGTATCTAAATAGAAATACAATAAAGTTATGTTTGTCCGAACGTTGAAGATTTCACGAAGAACGGAATGTAGCACAAATTCCAGCTGGCCAAGGTGGTTTTATACCTATTTGTAATTCAAAGAAAAGAGGTTTAGTTTGCTAAAGCTGGAAGCAAAATCATCACATGCACTGATGCAGGTATAACGCATGCATCTCAGCTTGGAAGGTCGGCTTCGTCCAATGTCGACTCCCCATTCCATGAGAACTTTTCATGAGAATCAATGACCTGCTGCTTTGTCGGTATATTTCTGGGGAATATTGTTGTTTTACTGCCCCATATCATACTGTATATAGGACTCCCTCCGGTCCTTAATATATAAGGACATTTTGATTTGTCCTAAATTTTACCTAATACGCATTTTTTATTAACAAAAAAACCTTAAAAACATATTTTCACATTCCTTGTGTTTTCTTGATTGTTATGAAATATTTTTAAAATTTTTTGAGTGTTTTCTTGATTATTGTGAAATATTTTTAAGATTTTTTGTCAAATAAAAGTGCGTACTAAGTAAAACCGAGAAAAAATCAGCATGTCTTATAATAAGGACGGGAGGGAATACTTCGCATCCTCCTGGAAACGGAACGACACTTTTGTTAAAGCAGCAGGTTGACTAGAATTAATTCAACTATTAAATAATCAGTTGACTATAGATGGAGTAAAGTGTCTCTCCAATTTTAATAACAAAAAAAGATACAGTAAGAATACCAACTACAATTCATTGCTCATCAGGTGTAATATGTCGCACTTAAAAAAACACAACAGTTCTGACCGGAGTTCTACATGATTTTTAAGGAATATACTTACCGATTTTTCATTTTTATTTTTTTGTTTAATCACTTCTTCTATGTAAATTTGCTCTTTCTGGCGACAACTTGTCTTCCAAACTTAATATGGTTGCTAAGAAGAATGCAAATTGAGTTTTATTCAGTATTCTTTTCGAATCCAGCATATTGCACATAGACAGAGCTATTACATGTACCTCTTCTGTGTTTTCAGACAAAGATTGTTGAACCGAACAGCAACAAAAAAAAATTACCCTTTTTTGTTTACAGATAAGAGTGTAATCGATGAAACAACTCTACTCAAATTTCACGACTTAAATCTAAGTTGATTCAAGGTATAATAAGAAATCAAAATCTCAATCTCTCGGAGACACGGTCATTGTGGTCATTCTTGCAACTTCATTTGAATGAGTTCCTCTGCTCCACATTCTCTGATGCCAATATCAATGACAGAACTACGAGCAGAAGAAGAAGACTGCAATACATCACAACATTGTCTTCTTGGCGCCTGCATCTGCAATGTAACATGAATAAGCGAATTGTTAATAAACTTGCTAAACCCAAATTAGGCCCTGGAAAGTTGTCAAACGATAGTAACTCGAGCTCAAATTCATTGCAAAAACTTTGACCTGTTTTGCATTGAGGTCTAACTTTTTTGAGGAGACTCTAATCACGTCTATTTTATTCTTGTTCTTAGTGCAATTTCGATCCGCTTTCTTGTAGATGCTCGTAGTTCCATCGCGGTTGGAGGAGACACTGTCAAAGAAAAACACATCTGGCCTCTTGCATGGATTAGGATCATACCTCTGAGTATCAACATCATAATTTTCGTTCTTATTCCAGGGTATGTAAGTCTCTTGCGCGCGAATGATATCGCGGAGAAGTGCATTCCACCTCCATTGTTGTATTGCATATCCCCAAGACACTGAAAATGTTGAGGAGAGTTGATCATAGCAAACTGTTTGCTGCAAGATCCTCTCAGGATCAGCTTTTGCTGCTTTCACCAACTGGATTAAAGCCTCCAAACTTCTCATGTTGGGAAAAATTGGATATAGTTTATCAATATGATGGAGACTTATCAATGGCCTTATGGGATGAGCAGTTAACAAACCAAAAATATTTCCCTTCATATCCATCTGATTACAGGTTCCAAATTGAGAAACGTCAAATGAACTGAAGTACCTCATTGGGAAAGGAAAAAACCAGAAGAACAAAGACAGAGAGATTTGCAGAGATAACAACAAGCGCAAAAATGATAGAGACGGTAAATTCATATACCAAAAAAAAAAAAGCAATTAAAGTACCTGATGAAATCCAGGTTCATGCGTCAATGAAACTCCCAGCTCTGCCAAACAGATATGTATTCTTGCATCACTGCCATAGACACCATGGTATCTGATCAAGCAGGAATCCAACACTTTTCCCAAGACTTTAGCCAGGGGAGAGCTTATAGCAAAACCAGCTCCTCCAAATGCCATTTCAAAGGAGTTACCTTTATTCGTCTCGAAATATTCAGAATTAGTCCCAATATAATACCACAGGCCATGATCATACTTTTGAAGGGTCTTCACAAGATTGTCAGGAAAGAAAACCGTATCATCATCTCCAAACACAAACCATCTTACATCACTATTGTTGTTCATCAAGGCCACAGTCTCTGAAACAACTCGGGCTACCCGAATAGCTGACCTTCGACCATATTTGTTTGTATACTTAAATCGAGAAGTGTCAGCAGAAATGCAAATGGGAGGGAGAGAAACACGGTCATTTTCCGATATCGGTGGCATTTGTTCAAGAAAAACACACCCCTTCATTACTTCTGGCCTCCACCAGAGCCTGACATATTCTTTCCTCCTTGACCAGGATTTATCACTGGCTGCAATCCCAAATGCAATGTGTTCAAGGGAGGTAATTATTGTAGAGGATGAATTATGTACAGAATTAGCTGAATGATATTGCCAGAGAAGTAGTGCATTTGGAACAAGGGCTAATGACAAGATAATATAAATACCAAAAATCAAACAAGATATGAATACGATGCAATTTACAAAATTGGATAGGGGATTGGATGTTGAACTTTCCTTGAAATTTTTCATCCTGAGAGGTTAAATGAAGACTCTAATGCAATGGTTCCGACTACGACATAGTGACTTACTGACTTATACATGAGTTTGAAACACAGGAAATAAAAAGGTGGGAAGGTTTCATTTACACCCAACCTTTTAGGAACTGAATTTTAGGTAAAAAGCAACTAGTACAACGTTGGACAAATGTTTCATTCTGGGAGGTTTCAAGAGGAGATCATTTTAATAGTTACTTGTATTTGTTGCAGACGAGGTCATTACGTGGGAAGGTTTCATTGGAGTTCAACATTTTAAGAACAGAATCTTTGGATGAAAGCAACTTCGAGTTGAGTAAATTTGGCCCTCTTTTCATCGACTTGGAAATTAATCAAATAAATCCTGCACATGGAATCTGCGTGAACCTAAGAGTACTTTTCCTTGTTTTAGATTGAGAGGGGTAAGAACAGTAGAAAAAAGAAGTTTCAAAAATGAAAATGTGTAAAGCATTAAATTAATGAATCTAATGTACTTAATTAAAGCAACATATAAGAAGGACAAGTGTTAGCTCCACGTTCAATATTTTCTCGTCAAAGGCCATTTTCAGTACAAAATTATTTTTTGACACGTAGAACTCTAACTATTCAGAAAAAAATAATGTAAAAAAAAAACCCAAACACTAATTTTCATCAAAAGCCCAAAAGAAGCCACAAAGTACTCCCTTTTCGCGTTCACAAATTTAAGCCATCACCATCAATTTAAAAATCAAAAATCTGTTCAGAGATACGATCACCATAAAAAATCACAAATCCCTAAAATCAAGGATACGATACGATCACCACAAATACACGGGATTCAATTAGATTTTTCAGTTTTATGTGGAGTTCCGACTTCCGAGTAGCGACACTGACGAAACGGCCGTAGGTACGATCGGAAATCCCTCAACATGATCCACAAAATGCCTTTCGATGTTGTGTCATGTTAATCATTTAGTTCCGATTCAGACCCTTTTGATCATTCTTTTGTATCCTATTATCCTCCTATTAATCTATATATCATTTGGGTTAATAGGGTGTTGGAATTCAAGGTTCTAAAAAAGATAAAAGATTGAATCTTTTACTATTTTTTTGGTGGATTTGAGTTTTGAGATAATGGCAGTTGATGTGGTTTTTGGGTCTGTTAGGACTCCTTCTTCTTGGATTCAATTTTAGAACTCCCCCAAGAAAGGAATGGTTGATGGTAAGAATAATAGTAAATTCAGGGTCTCCTGCGTTTATTCTTCTGTAAGAGATCCGTATCAAACTCTGAGAATCCATCAAGGAGCTTCTAAAGCGGAGGTTAAGAAGATTGTCATACAACTTGCTCTTCGGGTATTTCTGATAAATTTCGATCCCATCTCAGAAAAATTTGATCTTGCGAGTATTTTGGAGTTCTGTTCTTTGGACTGGAGACTCTAACTGTTAATGCAATATCTTCCCAGATACTGTAACTAAATTGATAATTATATGATTATGACTAATATTCTATCATTCACTAGTTCTGTTGTAATCTTTCCTAAGAACTGGTTTGTTTATGGTTTGAAATCAGCTGAAAATTTTGCCTGCATTGACAATTTATATTTTATAACAGTGTTGATAATTTATAATCGGCTGGGATCAATTGATTGTATTGAATGAATGGATTTTGTTGTTGGCTTTGTTGTTGTAGTTACTTTGATGAATTATTGTCATACTGGGATTCAAGTTCACATAATGGATCTTCATCCGCATCAAAGATTATAGTTCCATAGGAATGGACGAAAGAAGATCAAATGAAATATTGATTACTCTTAATGTCGTGATCCTAATATCAGCAAGGCAAAGTTATCTTAATTTTTCTTGGTGTTTGGGATGGTTTTGGTATTCTTAGTTACAAAATGCATATCAAGTAATGAGAGATCCAACTCAATGTTGAAGTAAGAACTCTATCTTAATAGTTTCCCATTTGGTATAATCCCATGATAGTTTAATCGGTAAAAAGAAAGATATTTCCTGAACTGACATGTTTCTCCTTGACTTCATTCGCAGATATAGAACTACAAAATAATTGTGTGAAAGCAAAGCAAACAGAAAAAAAGTGCATGGATCCACACTTATGGTATTCCCTTTTTTCGATCCTGGTCTTGAAGGGGAAAGAATTCTGTTTGCTTCCAATTCATGCACGCTATGGGATCCATTTCAGGCGAGTTTCTATAACTTACTATGACTTTGGATTTTTATTATAGATCGTTGTACTTTTTTTATTTGACATTATGATTTTGGAGTTAATTTTCTCTAAATCTGGAATCTGATGTTGCCAAGAAAATTCATGGAGTAAATAGTCATGTTATTTACGCGAGCTCGGGATCAGTTGGAGAATGAGAATATTTACACATTTGATGGAGAAGGTAAATGTCTCTTATGCGTTACAATTTTTAACACAAAAGATTTTAATTTATTTAGTTGTAATCTAATATTTGATCGATTATACTATCATGTGAAGAAATAAAACAAATATTTGGATTATAGAATCACTGCAAAATTTACATTTCACGTTGTTGAATTAAAGATGGAGTTTCTTGCATTACCACTCATATTTGTTATTTCTACATCTGAATATAAAGACAGCTATGATACAGTTGAAATCATTCACCTCCAATGCTTGAATGGAGAAAACCACGCCATTTAGTATGAGAATGATACAAAAAACAAAACATAAGCTAAAATTGTTAAAGCACTAGAGGGGGCCATGTCGCATGGTATAGATTTTAAAGCACAAAATAAGCTAAAATCATGAAAGCATGTTTTAATTATATGTTACCTGAAAAGCTTTTGCTTTATTTTTTTAGTTGCAGGATCTTTTTGTTAAGATAAAGCCAAAAGTTCAACTTTGATAGAAAGATAAATTTGATTATTGAGATTCCTGGTTGATTTTTTTTCCATCATTTCTTTGATTGAGTTAGCCAGTTCTTATGTAACTTTTGTTAATGTTTATCAAGTGTATTGATCATTTAAAGGGTGGTTCAGGATACTCTTGTGGTGATCAGACAAGAGCATCTAGTAGGTTTGAATGGTAGTTAATTAGTCTTTTGTTGTTATTGCGTGAGTATCGTCCATTATCAACATCATCTGTTTTGGTTTTCATGTTTGTGTTTCTGCAGCCCTTTAGTTTCATAAATGGTTCAACCTTGATGTACATATAAGTTTAGAAGAATGATAGGTTGTGCTTAATTGTTTGATTGAAAGTTAATTGAATTGGCAAATTCTGTTAAGTTTCATTCCCTTAGTGGGGAACTGTTAAGGATGGGGAATCAATTCAGAAAGACCTGGAAATCATCAAAGAGAATGGCACTTTAGTAACGTTTGAATCATCAACCTGTGCAGAAAGTTTGCAACGAGAAAACAATGATGTAGTTTCTTATGAGCCCTCAGGCGATGGTGTCCCTGAAAATAGCAAGTCAAAGAAAACCACTACAAGAACGAGAAGAAGCATAATAAGATTAGGCAAAAGAAAAATGTTGAGCTCGAAGAAGGTTAAGTTGCAAAGGTGTGAGAATTGGCCGCAATCAAACAGAAACAAGATGAAGATAAAAAGGTAGCAAGGCTGCATCCGTTTGATGGGAGTAGCAAATCCACCTGCAACCTGTTTTCGGAATAAAGACAGAGACAATGATTTTTTTTTGTATGATTATTTTCATGAGTAATTAGGTAGGTAGAGGCTTTCGTAATCTTTTGCAAGATGTTAGTTTTTGTGCTTGGTGGATCTTTGAGGCCATAATCACTTTTAAACTTATTGCCTTCATGTGAAGCAAGTTTGATACCTCAATAGCCCGTAATTCAGTGATGTTGTTTTTCTAGATGCTACAGGGATTTAGGATGTGGTGGTTTGTTAGATGCAATATATATGAAAGAAGAAATCACTTTGCTGGATATTCAAGTACTTCTGCTCTTTTGATGTGTTTTTTTGTTATTTTTTCACAAGAAAATTTAATTTATTTAATTAAAATCATATAATATTAAGAAAAAAATATTGGACCCTGAACAAGCATCTAGTATAGATTAAAGAGCTAAGGGATATTCATCACCATGTCATTCACAAAATTAAATAAAAATACTCCTACCTTTGTCCCAATTCAATAAACTCGCATATCCACCTATGTATTTAAGCCAACAAAAGTGTGACCCAGTGGTTTGGGCTTTGACATCCAACCAATATCAAAAAATTGAAAGTGATAATTGAACACCTTGTTGCTCAAAGTTAATGCTGACTTTGACTTCCACTCACCAGTCAATTCAAAGTTCAAACTTCTCACCAACTCAAATATAGTCCCTTTTTATAGTCCAGTATGATTGGGATTTGGGACCTTTTGTCTGCTTACGCCCAATGGGCCATAAAACCTATCGCTTCTCCAATCCATACATCCCTATCTAGAGCTTTCTCTAGGAAAGCCCAGAACAAGCCCAATAAGTCTTCTTCCCGTTTTCTTTTTCCTCTTTATTATATACTCCATCCTCCAGAGCCTCCGGCCGGCGGCCACCCCTGCCTCTCTGCCACTGTCAGATATTTCTTCCAAAAACCACCACCCCTCATACAAGATTGGTTAGCTAATTGTTGTGTTAGAAGAAGGGATAAGGGAAGGCAGATTCTCCTTTTGTCTTGTCGCTATCATCAGACATCATTCTTTTTGCATGTGGTAAAATAAAATAATAGGCCAAAAGGAAAGATGGTAAACTCCAAAATCCAAATAGAGATGCCAAATTAAGATTCTAATGTGCATCATCTTTTAATTCTTCTTGGACCAAGTGAAATTGGGTATGTTTGGATCGTTTTTAGTACGTGTTTTCAAGTATTTTTTCATTTAGAAAGTAAAAAAATATATTGAAAATGTAAAAAAATATGTTGAAATATGATAATTAAACAAACCAAACAGAGCCGCGGAATCAACCATTTCTAAGAGTGCTCTTAATTCTTTGGTCGATAATCAATTCATAGAGGTCAGATAATTCGTCATTATATGATGGGCATCTTACAATTATGAAGTGATGAGAATTTGTAACATGATATAAATTTTTTAATCTTAATAAAATAAAATGGGTGGGCAAAGTTATCCAACACAAACCTCTGTTTGAAAATTATGACTCAAAAATAATACGACGGATAATTGAATAATCAAACACAAAAACTTTTCCAAAAAAAAAAAATCGAACACAAAATTAAGAAATTTTGGTATACATATGACTCAATTTATAATATTTT